TCGCAGCCATGGCGCGGGGCCCCGGGGGCGCAGGGCCTGCCTCCCGCCCAATACTAAAAATTTTAAACTAGGGCCAGCAGGAGGCATGGTGGCTGAGGTGCTGGACTTCCATGTGTTTGACCACGGTTCAAGCCCCAGCTCCAACACCTTGAAAGTCATGCCAGGTACATGCGTGCATATGCCCAGAATCTCCAGAGTTGAATGGAGGAGAAAGGACTGCAGTGTGGCCATCCCCACTGTGGGGTGATTTCTCACTTTCCCTCTCACTGTTTCACTCTGTCTCTGTCCAGCTAGTGCATGCACCCTATGGCACAAACCTAAAAATAAATAAAACTAAAGAAAAAAATGGACCATCAGTTGGCATAATGGCTATGTTGCTGGACTCCCATGTAGTTGACTGCAGTTCGAGTTCCAGACTTGGTGGCTTAAACTCACACTGGACATGTGTGCATGCGTGCTTAGGATTCTGAGGAGAATGGAGGAGAAGGGATTATGGTGTGGCCATCCATCCCCCTTGAGGGGTGGTTTCTTGCTTTCTGTCTGTTTCTTTCTGACTTTCTGGTGAGTGCACATGCCCTGTAGCAAAAACCTCTCTCAAAAAAAAAAAAAAGAACAAATAAATAAAACTATAGGTGTAATAACTTGATAAATACATAAATATAAAAAAATGCATGTGAGAGAGGAAGTAAAAGTGGAGAATTATAGTATGTGATTGAAATTAGCACAAAGTAAACTGTTAAAATTGTCAGATAACTTGGACCAACAGGTGGCATGGTGGTTAAAGTCACCGGACTCCCATATGGCTGACTGCAGTTTGAATCCCAGACCTGGCGGTTTGCTTACTCGCTTTTTCTCTCGCTCTCACCCTGTTCCTCTCTGGTCATATTACATAAACAAATACATAAATAAATAAAAATAAAGTGTAATAAAATAACTCTTAAAAAAACCCCTAAGATAATTTGTCTAATTCTCTTGGTAACTACAAAATAAAAATGTATAGATATACAAAAAGAAAGGAGTGAAGCACTACAGAAAATCAGATCACAAAGGAAGACAGCAAGAGTGGAAGAAAGGAGCAAAGGACCTATGAAACTACTGGAAAATAACAAATGATAGTAGTGAGTCCTTACCTATCAGTAATTATTTTGAAGGGCCAGCAGGTGGCGTGGTGGTTAAATGCTGGACTCCCACATTATTGAGCAAAAGTGGTTTGACCTGGACCTGGCGGCTTGCTTTCTCACTTTCCTTTTCTCTGGTCGAATGAAAAAGAATAAATAAGTAAATAAAATAATTCGTTTAAAAATGATTTTGAGTGTACATCAGAACATGATATTGGAAAAACTCGATATCCATAATCAAATGTAATTGGACCCTTAACACGTTCTCAAAAAAAAATTAGTTCAAAATGGATTAAAGACTTAAATATCAATCTGAAATTGTAAAACGTCTAGAGGATTAATAGGGAAAAGGCTCCTTGACATGACGTTTTTGGATTTGACACCAAGAGCACAGGTGATAAAAAAGCAAAGCAGACAAATAGACTACGTCAAACTGAAAAGTCTCTGCACAGTGGTGGAGATAATGTGATGAAACACTAATCCATGCCGTGAGCAGAGATATTTGCAAACCATATATCAGTAAAGGGTGGTTATCTGAGTATATAAGGAACTCAGAAATCAATAGCAAAAACTCAAATAACCTCATTTTAAAAAATGGACAAAGGACCTGTGTTATGTAGCTCTGATGTGATTCCAAGCATTTACATGGTTACCATGTGGTTACATATACTTTGCTTGATAACATTCAGTGTAATCTCTCTCCCCATAAGAATGTTGCGTCATACTTTTATAGGCTTCGTGTGTGACTTACTGGTCTCACTTACAGGACTCCAAAACATGTAACTCAAGATTTCCACAGGTTGAGAGTTTAGGCCATGGCAGGGATGCTCTGTCAGCCATTACTGCAAAGACTAAATGCTCAGTCTCCAGCAGGGCTGTTCCCCTCCAGCCTTGGAGCTGTTCTCTGCAGTCTTGGCCTTGCTTGCCAGCTTTGATG